CCATGTTTGTTTCTGCTCTTTTCACAATAGCTAAGAGATGGAAGCAACCTAAGTGTCCCTCAATTGATGAGTGGATAATGAAAATCTGGTTCATTTATACGACGGAGTTTTCCTCAGCAGTAAAGAAAGATGAAATCATGAAATTTGCAGGTAAATATATGGAACTAGAAACTGTTATACAAAGTTCAGTAACACAGACTCAGAAAAAAAAATTGACATATGTTCTCCCTCATATGTGGATCCTAGAACAAAACCCTGATAAGGGCGTATGTATCCAGACATAACTACAGGAACCAGGATATTGAAAAGGAACCAGGGAGGTAAAGGAAAAGAAAGAACCTGAAAGAGAAGAACAGTTAGGAATCAGCCCTTATAAGAGAGATATGGATAAAAATTGGGTTAGTTTAAAGGAAGGGGGAGGGAAGGGTATACAAGGAACCTAGCAGACAAAGGGAAAGGAGCTCAAGAGAGGTAGGACCATAGGAGAAGGGTATTATTAAGGGAGAAAGGGGGGAACACCTTAAGTGGGAAAATCATGATGGAGGGGTAAGACAATGCGAGATATAAATAATGCCTAGCTAGTTTTGAAAACCAGAGGGAACCATATTACTCCTACAACCTACTGACAAATTATACATAGCAGATCAAGAAATATATGTCTAGGTAAGGTTTATCTGAGAACAATTGTCTAGGTAAGGTTTATCTGAGAACAATCTTTGCCCAAGATTTACCTGCATGACACACAGTAATTAAAAGTACCAGACTGGTGGAACTAACCTTCTTGGATGTTTGACAGACATACTTTGAGGCCTATAATAATTTGGTCAGAGGGACATAAAGGACAGTTTTTGCTCCTTGTCCTCCTAGGCTGACTAGTTCCAGGGAACTATGAGCATCTCTCAAAATGTTCTGTAATTGTGGTGGGTCACCTGTCATCTTGATCAAGGAGGCTGAGGAGGCCCCACAAGATGGACTTGAACCAGTGTCCAGTCTACAAAGAGGAGGGTCAACACAGAGGAATCATTTCCTCCATGCTTCCAAGGGAAGCCAACCATGGTCAAGCAGGACCTTTGACTTATCTTCACATAGGCGCAACTGGTAAAAGAAAGGAGCCAGGGGCTCCTCCCAAGCCCATGTGACCCCTGAGGAACAGATCCTCAAATGACCTTAAGAGTAAAAATAAATTGGTTTATCTGGGCCAACTGTATGGCCTTAAACACCCCAAAGGAAATAACCCAAGGTTAAAGGGGCCAATATCATTTCTTAAGAGTCCATACACATAGCTAAAGGCTACACAACAAGCAACAGTGCCAGATAGGAGATATCTTCTTTTGAGTTGTTGGCCAGGGTGGCCAAAGGGACTCCCAGATGGTAACCCAGCATAGAACTGGGGAAATGAACAGCAGACCCCAATCTTATCCAAAGGAATATTTAGAAGTGATTGCTGCTAGATGAGGAACAGCTGACCTTCCTAAAACAAAGACCTCTAGATAGGCCCGACTAGATTCACCAGAAGGGCAAGAAGTGGGGAATGGCTGGGGGTGCCGATAACACAGCAGACAGTAGCAGGGATATCAG